GCAAAGGCGGTAAGAAGCGACACCAAAAACTGACAAAAAACATTGCTTGATTAAATGTGACAATTACAGCATTGATAACAAGTTTTAATATTAAATAGCATATGACTAGGCTTGATCGATGACAACTGAAATGAACCCGAAGAACGTGATTATTTTGACACAATACATCAAACAACCGCAAATCGCACACGAATAAGGAGATAAATTTGAGCGGAATTCACGAAGTAATTGGAGTGAATCTGTTGAAAAGAGATAGCTAATTTATATTATGGAATCATGATCAGTTCCGATGCGAAGCACAACTGCCGAAGAAGTTGATCCATCCACTTGCAATACGAAGCCCCATCTCAGTCAGTCACCATACTTGACTGACCTCTCACCAACTGAATTTCATTCATTCCCACATCCTGATCTTTATGTTTATCGCTCACTGAATGAGTACTAAACAATTGTCTTGAAAGTTCTTTAACTTTATGAACGTAAGCATCCACACTGCTGCAATTCATAAAAATCATGTGATCTTAGTGCAGTGGTTCTCCATTACACCTTTTGATGATCTGGCAGGCCGCACTTACCCCACCCCCGTTTGGCTTAACACAACATACATGTGACCGTGATCACAGGACCCGTTCTAATGTGCCTGTTACTTTATAAAAATCGCCTTCGTCAAGCAAGCGCTAGAGTTTCTTCGAAAAGTAACTTCATAAGCAAAGTGAAATCATGCATTTTTCGTGTGACACGAACAATGGATGATTTCGGTTTTTGTAAGGCTTCAAAAGACGATTAATTATTGTCTGATTCACGCGATGCATCCATCGTCGATCAGTCAAACAGCAGCAACCTCGAAATCCTTTCGTTTCTTTGACGTCACACTTGAAGGGACTCTAGAATAAAAGTTTTTTTGCGAAATTCGTCTACTTTCATGAACTGATATACAGGTCATTTAGTCATCTGACTCAACGCCAATATGTTCAAATCGTTGAGACCCTCCGTTAAATCCTTCTTTAGTTAATATCCGACAAATTTAATCCGTTAAAAATCAAAACCCAAAATCAAATCATCATTAAAAGTCTCATCGCAGGTTTTTGGCCATATTGCATCTGAAAACATCAAGCGAATCGATGACACGTTGTGATACGGAACGTGTTGTCCAAAAGTATACACTCATGGGGTTTTTATAATTGAAGTATAAAAGTGCGAAATCAGCATGCGCGTTTCTGTCAACTTTCAGGATGTCGTGCAACTACGGTTTGTGGTGAGTATAAGTCAGTGTAGAAATCGACAAGAAATGCATCGCATTAGCTAATTAAGTTACAATTAGAAATCTCCGAGCTAAGTTCATTAAAAGGCGATTTAATGCAAATAAGGAATCGGTAATGATAGATTTAGCTGAGATATAGCCATCAAACTGGACATTCAAAGCGACCACATTTGACGAGAAAACTGAAATTCAAAGATATGATAATGGAATTCACGAATTTTAATCCAGACAACTCATTTTATAATGGTTGGACGAACGTTAGGCTTATTGCCAGACCAATGGTGCAATGCATTGACTATGCAGATCGAAAAAAAACCAAAAAAACAACAACACTTGTGAAGTAACGACAAAAAAGGCAAACAGCATCAACGAGTATGTGGTTCGTGTTAAATGCGTTTGGAATCGAATGAGAGGATCAAGAGTATTCCAGCAGTGAAATCTCCTGAACGCGAACAAAAACAAAAAGGAACCAAACCGATGGATTAACTGATATTAATCATCCTCTGTGAATGTGACTTCTGAAGTGGTTGGAACTTTGAAAGTTACGAAAAACATTATGGATAGAATATACAGTTACAGTTGTAAAATATTTATTATATAGTTACATACAGATTGCACATTATAGATCAGTGGTTCTCATATGGGGTGAAATTACCTATTTTGGGTAATTTGGAGGTGTCAAGGGGCAACGGAGGGGATCGGAAAATTAGTACTTCGTGCAGTTGTTATGTTATGATAGAACGTCATTGTGATGGTGTTTTTTAACTCGTGTTTGTAAATGCGGTTAGTTGATGGCACCACTCTCCATTCTCCTATTTTCTAAGTATCATTTGCTCGTCCGAGCCTAATACGGTTTTCATTTGTTTTAGCAGGGTTTTCACTATTTTCTTTGCTATTGCAATCGCTTTCATAGCTTTTACACCAAAAGTGTTCTCTTCTGTTAATTCTTCATTCATTTCACTCAACAGTTTCACTAAAGTCAAATTAGAAATTCTATCAAATAAACGCTATGACTGTCGAATGTTTGAGCAATTCACTTCGATTGCTGTATTGTTGATTTCGGCTGTGGACAATCGTCAACGTATCCAGTAAATAGTATATGCTACAGAATAAGAAATGGACCCGAACTGTGAAGGAAACTGAGACGTAGTGAATGAGAAAAACTTATCAAGAGAACGATATTTGCAGGTAATAGCTATGAGAATGAATACAACACGTCTGAAAAGAATGAGAATCCATCTAATTCAGTTTGAAGCTCCACTTCTTTCTCGCCGCTAAGAATTTCCGGTGTTTCATGACAGAAAACTAATTTCTTTCAAGCCGCTGAGAAATTTCCGGACCGGTTTTCTGTTTGCTTCTGACGTTATATGTAGAACTAGCAAAATTCTTGTATCAGAGAGGAGGGAGGGGGTAACGGCAGCCTGCCAGACCATCAAAAGGGGTAATAGAGCATCCGAAAGTGAGAACCACTGTAATAGATAATACGGTTATTAAAATAGATGTTCATTGATTCATTTATTCATAATAATCATGAGAACAACACTACAATCATTTTCAAGTTCATACAATTGTCGACCATTTCAGTGCAATTTCACGAGCAGCGTTACCGTATTTTGCGTATGCAATCTCGAATGGCAATTGCAGCAGTTCATACTTCATAAAAGTGATGTATTCGATTGCAAGTCTGAAAAATATCTACTTTGAATTGTCCAGCTGTCAAATATGGTGACGTTCTGGTACAGATGTTCATATGATGATGGCGAATTTACAATGAATGTTAATGTTTGAACCTTCCAAACATAGACATCTCTGAGAAATGAATATAATGCGCAGGACCAAATGGCTAGAGTTGTCAATAAATGGTCAGTCTTTCTTCTTCTGTGTAGTATCTAAAACATCAACCTTGAATTACCTCTGTGAAATTGATCAGTCATCTAACAATAAGTGTTGTTATTCAAGTGACTATTCAAGTTGTTATGAATAATAACTTTAATTGCTGGAGGTATTGCGCTCCTTGTTTCATGAATATTGACTAGTTGCGATTATAAACTTTACCCAAGTTATGATAAGAGTTCAGAAGATAAATTTTGCTCTTGCCTCAAAACCTCAATACGACTCAGTGATTTCTCGTAAACGAATGTTGGAATATGTAAACGAAGCGTGTTGAAGGCGATATTCAGTCGTTGCATCCTCCTTCGTTCACGTTCATTCGCAGCTTCACGTTGTGCAACAGTCGTCCTACGACATCGTGCTCGTTGTCTCACTTGTTTCATTCAATTTGTCGAACGCTACAATCAGAAATGACCTGAATTTATGTCCTCAACTTGAATGAATCTACAGAACATTCATCAGTCTCTCGTTGAAATATCCATTGGCTGACATCAAACATAGCATCCATAACATTCTACCACGTATCGCCGAATTAAGAAGTTGAATCGTCGCTAAGTGCGCATATCTTTTGCACTTCGGATTCATATGCGCTCTAATCCACCAGTAAAGCACAAACCTGTTAAGCACCTACAAGCACTCAACAATCATAATTTGTAAGAAATGAAAATATGTTAGTAAGTGCAGCGAACTCTAAATTTGCAATAACTTCAGACGGACACTGAAATATTTGTGGGAGAAAATATCCAACAATAAGAAATAAGTTTACAACATCAAAACCGAAGCTGATTCATCGATGAAATTCTACCCAATGTTGACTTCACTAATCCAGTATGTCTGAAGTCAGAGGTTATTATCAGCAGGGGGATTAGAGCTGGATGGAGCGACTGAATGGATCAGAATCGAATAATGTGGCTGCATTCTGATACCGTCAAAGTGATATTATCGTCAAGTGAAACTGCAATCTGAAAGAATATAACAAAAATATCCGAACGCTAATAAAAACGATGGTTTGTAAGAATTTTTTATGGCGAACAGGATACGCTCAATTGCGTCTTCATGGAAAAGCGCACGCCAAAGCCGAACAATGTCCACTTATAGAAATTGCGATTGAAAAACAGTATCATAAAGGGTTTGAAAAAGTTGTAATGATGCAATGTTGTGATGCTAATCGTGTGAATGGAATGATTCAACAAATGCTCGCAATGAACGATATCCAGTTGGATATTTCATGTAATCGAGTTATGTTTTTGGATTTATGATTCAACAAGTAAAATTCAATGTTTTCAAAAAATATTTTTCACTGGATATATGAGGCGCTGATGGAGTTTCTTTAATACGACTATGTGCAACAAGCAAATCAATGAATGAAAAACACTTATTCACAGGAAAGAGGACTAATTAATTGACATTTGATGGAGTCTCATGCACACTTCTGTTGACGATGAACTCGCGTAACTGTACTGTATGGAAATATTCTTTGTGCTTGTGAGAAATGAACTGTTTGAGAAATACTTAATTGCGGTGATGTATC